GTTGTATCTATCTTGCACAACCAACCAGGACCAGCAACTGAAATCGCACTCCAAACCATGATGGAACCGCCACCATGCTTGACGGTTTTGTGATATTTGTGCTTATATAGTTGAAAAACAGTGAAGAGTCAATAGCTAACAATTACTATTTTTATTATAAGTCTGAGAGAGGAACTAATAAATGAGGGTACGACCTGAATATATATGAGGGATGACGACTGTAAATGTCTGACGTCGTCTATTAGCTGAGAATGAATAAATAGAGACTTAAGAGATGTGTGATCTATGTAAACACGACAGGTTTGCTTCACTTGCTTTGGTTGCAAGCTGCTACCATCCCTTACCCATGCCCAAGCACGTCCATCCGAGTTGAAACGATTGATTTTCGTCTCGTCTGACCAAATGACCCTTCGCCAGTCTTCAATTGTCCAATGCTGATAGCGCTTAGCGAACTGAAGCCTGGCTTTCCGATGCTTAGCGGTTAGGAGCGGCTTACTAACCTTCTCTACCGCCCCGATTCCTGCGTCTACCAAGGCCGTACGGACAGTTGAAGGACTAACATTGATACCAAGTTCGTCCTTTAGTTGCTTTGCGACGGCAACGGCGCTTTCCACACCTTATACCATGACCTTGCGAACGCAAAGTCGCTTGTCAGCATCACTCAGTACAGGAGGACGACCACCTTTGCTGACTTTAAGGCCAGGCAAACGCTCATTTCTGAGCCTATCAATGAAAGTGCGGCTAACACCAGCCCGTTTAGTAATTTTTCTTGAAGATAAGTTGGTTGATAGGAGCGACAGGATGTCATCCTCTGCAGATTTGGAAATTGCACGCATACTACATTAGACAAGACATTATTAGTATCACGAATCGTCTATCGATTGCACGACTTGTTTGTCTAACACTCTACGCATAACCTACATCAAGTAAAGTTGGGATATAAAAGCTACCACAACTTTAGAGCGCTGTATGATGCCGGATATGTTTCACCTGGCATACGCCCAACAACTGGCAACATGTATCGACCGAACTCAGCAGGCGCTAGGTGGCTGAGTTTGTATTACGTATGCGCCAAATTTAGTATACAGACTCCGAACAAGTGTAGTACTGCTCATACAAAGTTTCGAAGCGATACAATAAGAACTGAGCGAGTAGTCTGTGCCAAAAGTTGAAAATGCGAAACATGTTGCCAGTTGTTGGAGTCACTGTATTTTGTGCACTGGACTCGACATCTAACACCGATACTCGGGAATGTTATAGAACGAAGATTATAATAACACATTTATATGTACTGGAATTAGAAAAAAAAATATGCAACATCACATGATTTGACTGCCTTTTTATAATGCTTTTTTTTTTCCGAATCGAACATCGAACCTGCGCGACAAGCACTTGGTTCCTGAAAGTGCATGCATGAGCTTTCTTTCCTTTCTTTTCGAATATAAACATTTCCCCTTTTCTCATCGCATTAAGCGTTTCTTTTCTTTACTCATCGTATAAACATTTTGAACTAATTTGGTATGAATAATGTTTCTTTTGATTCGAATATGTCTGCTAACATTGTCGCTCATTAGAACAATGGAAAACAATACTTCTAGAACAACTA